AGGCACCCCTGCTTACTCCAAGAGAGGCCACTGAAACGGTTAGACACACACACAACATCATGATCAGCATCATCACCTCTCAAGGACAAACATGTATCCTGAGAATGGGTGGTTCAAAGCTGATGGGAAAAAATATTTTTCTAACCAGCCTATGACTTGGCAGGAAGCCCCTCCACCATGAAGTCGGCAGTCAGGTTGTTTTGCAGAGTAGAGTTTAGATCCTTTCCTTTTTCACCCCACCTCTAAATTACCTTCTTCCAGTCCTCTTGGGAACAGGGAAAAGCCAGCATGACTTAAGAGCTGCTCTTTTAGTTATACAAATGGAAGCTTTGAAATATTTATTTTATTACGGATTCTATTCTTAGTCATAAATTGTTGTTCACCTGAGTTTCCTTCTGGGGTACATGGAGGAGATGGCTTATTTTCGTTATGGTCTGTCTTCTGTTTCTACTCCTCTGTTCCCCACATTGTTTCATTTCCCGTATTCCAGTTCCACACCCTGTATTCTCTCCCACAGTTCTATAGTCCCAGGAAGACCTCAGCTCCATGCTATCCTTGACACCTCAGTTTGCCTGGCCAACCTGGAATCTTCCCTTTTGTTACTGTTTTTTCTTGGTTTTTTTTTTTTTTTTTTTGGCAGATTCCCACAGAACTGCACTGTATCATTTACTATCATCTAATATGCTGACTGAATGAATGAAGGAGTAAACGCAGTACTGTCAAGCATGGCTTGTTCATTTCGTCCTTCTGCAGACAGGCCCTCAGTGCCTATTAGGTGCTGGGTACAGAGATGACATTCACTGAGCTCTTGGAATGAATTAACACCTGCCATTTATCTGTACATCAGTTCTGATTGACTTCAGCTATCTCTCTTAAACACAATACCAGCTCTAAACACAGAACAAATATCTTTAAAAACACACACACACAAAGTTAAAAAAGCAGTGTGGACTTGGGGAGGGAAAGGGGGTAGAGAACGAGAGGCAGAGATGAGGCTGTCTTACAGAGGTGGGTCACAGGACGATAGCTTACTCTAACTCAAAGTCTCACTGCCTGCGACTCCCAGGAAGCTGCCAAGAATCCACAAAAGTGAGAAAAAGTAATTTGAATGGATAAAAATGGATTAACAACAAATGTGAGGGGTGGTAGAAAGGAGTGAGGCCAAAAGCAGACCTGAAATCTCATTTCCAAAACTGAGGCAACTGTGTCCGGTGGCTTCCCGGAGAGACATCTCTCCTTACTGCCCTCCAACCTTTCATCAAGCAAACCCACCCTGCAGGGAAGCCTGAGGCAAGGGCTTTTGAGTCATTCATCCTCCATCCCAGAGGAGGAGGATTATAAATGTCAGGGTGGATTTTGCCTTAGTGACCTGATCATTCAACGCCTCTCTCTTCCTCCATTCTACTGATGGGGAGACCGAAGCCCAGAGAATGAATCTAAAATGTGGCACAAGTTGCATGGTGGAACCAGGAACAGAGCTCAGGTCTTCTGACATCCAGCTCACCGGATTTCTACTATCCAATGACAGCAGGATTGATAATAAGCACCAAGAAAGAAAACAAGATCGTTGATTTCCTCAAGTGTTAAACTCTCAGAAGTGAAATCTATTTTTCACTGAGTGTCTACTCTAACTCTCAGTGTGTGAAGGCTTTACCTCTCTTATTTGGGGTAAAAAGAAAGTGTGCTTGGTGGGAGTCAGGAGACCTCAGCTGGAGCTCAGACTCCCACCCGTCCTTTGCGACAGCTTCAGTTCATGCTTGTCATCCTTTCTGACCTGTGACATTTGACATCATACAAAGTTTCAGACAAATTCGATGGAAGTCTTTTCTGTCCAACAGGATTGACAGCAGGGCCTGAATTCCACTTTTATCCATTTAAGGCACACATTTGTTAAGCTGTCATGGGGAGCAAGTTTCTCAGCTTGTCTCAGATACAGTCAGATACCAGTCTCTGCCCTCCAGGGAGTCAAAGCCAAGAGAGGGATGACAGCAGACACTGGAGGCTCCCTTCCCTGGGAGGCTTTGGGTTCTCTGAGCAGGAATGTGAGTGACTCTGGGACAGGAAGTAGCTAGGTTCTCAATTATTTCCTGAGAGCAGGCTTTTCTTATAAGGAATGAGGAAAAAATCAGGAGAGGCAAGGTGTCAGCTAGAATGGTAGGAATTCCACTGGGACCCAAAAGTGAAGGTGATCTGGGGAGACGGTTTGTGCCTTTTCTGCAATCCCTAGAACCACACCACAGGGACAATCTGTGGTCCAATTAAGACAAGGATTTTAATTCTGTCCCCAGAAGTCCATAGTCAGGTAAACAGACCCACTGCCTCCTGGCTTGGTCCTTCCCCCAACATCGTCTGTCACTTGGCTCTAACCAGGAGTTACAGGCAATGCTGGTTGAGTCTACCATTCTGCCAATGGGGCAATCTTCCTTACTGTCCATTGAGTGGCCAGGTTCAAGGACCACTTTTCTGTCCTCATTGTAATTAGTCTATCTGCAGCATGCACCCAGCTGACTGTGCCTTCTTTCTTGAAACAGCCCTCACTTTCTTCCTACTTCAGAGACCTCCCCTTCTTGGGCTCTTTGTTGTCTTCCCCATTGATGAACCTCTGCATGGTGGAGGTGCTGCAGACTTGCTCATGGGCCCTCTCGTCTTCCCCACCTACACTTTCTGCCTGTGTGATACCCATTCCCATGACTACAAAGGCCAAATAGATGCTGAGAATTCCTTAATTTGAACCTCAGTCCTCAGTTTGCCTTTGAGCGCCAAATTTATCAATGCATCTTCTGATTCCACAGCTACCTTTGGCCAACCAGTAGGCATCGCACACTTAACATGTCCAAAATGAATGCCTGATTTCCCCAAAATACAAACACATGAACACACACACATGCACGCACGTGTGCACATGTGCACACTCACACACACACACACACACACCTTTTGCTCAAGCTAAAACCAAATTGTCATCCCTGATTTATTTCAGCCAAAAGATAATCCATCAACCTCACTTGACAGACTCTCTCCAAAATATATCCCATAATTAGCTCTATACCTCCCTGCAAACAACTTCAGCAGCATAACAAGAGAGACAGTGGCTGATGGATCTCATCCCACTTATCACATCTGCCACCACTGTGCCACTAGAGGTGTTTGATTCTCCTTCCTAGTTGTATAACAAAAAATTTCCAGGGATGGATTCCAGTAGGTTCAGTTCAGGTTCCCACACTTGAACCAATCCAGTTCCCACTACAACTACTTGGTGGGTATAGGCGAAAAATAGTTTTCAAAAGGAGGGCAGGGCAGTTCCCAGGAAACAGGCACTTCTGGCAGATAAATCCCAACAGATGTCCACGTCCCTTTGTTAGCGCAGTGACCACCATGTATTCTGGGTCATGTGCTAGCCTACCTGGACCCCTATCTCACCATATGATGAGTGCTTCCAATCAGGGACCAAGGCTTCAGCTTTTCCACAACTTACTACCTAGTGTTGTGCCTGGAATGAAGAAGTATGTACTTAACAAAAAGGTAGTTGAATGAATGACAAAGCTAGCAAGTAGAATGAAGATATTGCCGGTAAGAAAGATCACCCGGGCCTAGAAAGATTGGGAAATGATTTTTGGAGGTTATAAGAATGAACACAGGTGTTGAAGAATCAGCAGACGTTAGAATTGCAGACAAGAGAGAAGGAGTGATCCCGGACAGAGGGGATTGCCTTAGAAAAAACAAAGTAATAAGCACACACATGATGTATTATGGATATGGTAAGCAACCCAACTTGAATGAAGCAAGATGTGTGGGTCAACAACGTACTGGAGGCAGGGCCGGCTTCATGAGCGTGTGTGTGACCCATGCAGATGCTCAGGGCCCTGTACTCAGAAGGAGGCGCGGCGAGCGGAATTGAATGCATATTGTCACCATCTTGAAATCTTGATAATTGCATGTTTGAATCTCTGATTAGTGGAACCCAGTGGAACAGTGATGCATGCACCAGGGGTGATCAATGCCCTTGCATAAACTCCCAGCTTCTCTAGGATGGGCTCTTGGCCAACTGTTTCCCTGCTCCTACCCAGTAACTGCTGCTCCCTCCATCTTGGAGGGAAGGGGACTGGGAAGGGGTTCATGGAGGGTTGAGGTCTAGCACTGAGTTGCTGAGTGGAACCAAATTTCGTCATGGGGTATCCATGACTCTAAGACTTAGGGTGGGTCCCTAGCTCCCCGTGAGGGTCTACTCTTACCCTGTCAGTATCCTTGTGATCTCTCAGGGATGCATGACATGAAATAGCACATAAAAACCCACCATGACAGTTTAAGAGACTATGGAAAAAAGAAAGAGCCATTTTTCTGCTTTTTGAGCAATAGGCCCCACGTTTTCATCTTGCACTGGGCCCCACAAATGATGTAGCCAGCCTGAGTAGAACTGAGGCTGGACAGGTGGGTCGGAGACAGGCTGTCAATGGCTTTGACTGCTCTCAGGCTCAGCCTTTACTTTGCAGACCAAGACCGACACACTTTTCTATGAAGAACTAGGTGGTAATTACTTTAGTCTTTGCAGGTCACACGGTCTCTGTTGCAATGATTCAACTCTACTGTTATAGTGCAAAAACTGTCAGAGACAATATGTAAACCAGAGGGAGAAGTTGTGTTCTAATAAAACTTTATTTAAAGACAGACAGTGGACCAGATTTGGCCTGGGGTGGCCATAGTTTGCCATCTCCTGCTGTAGACAAAAGAGAGTCGTTGAAGGCAACAGAGCAGCAGAAAGAGGCAATTAGAGAAGATTTTCTAGAAGGTTAACTTGGCCTCACTGCCCAGGGTGGGTGAGGTTCAGTCTAGAGGCAGAGGATTTTAGGAGAGAGAATACTGTGAATCACCAAGCTCGAGGAGCAAGGGGCCAAGGCTTGGGAGCAGCAGTGGGGTGGAAGGGTAGGATGAGGTAATACAAAAACCTCGCATAGGTGCTGACACCAAGGCCACTGTCCTGACTTGGACCCTCTCCCATGCAGAAGGGAGGAAGAGCAAGCGGAGGGTCCGTACCACCTTCACCACCGAGCAGCTGCATGAGCTGGAGAAGATCTTCCACTTTACCCACTACCCAGACGTTCACACCCGCAATCAGCTGGCAGCCAGGATCAACCTCCCAGAAGCTCGGGTGCAGGTACAGCCATCCCGGCCTCAGGCCCCAGCCCCCATGCCCTTGGGACCATGTGTGAGACACTATATATCCCGGACCCTTCGGGGTTGCCCCATCTGAAAGTTTCCATTGGCTTTATCCTGTGAGTACAGTCATTTTGGGGCAAATATTATTTTCTGTGAAATGAGGTCACCATACTTCCAAAATGGTTTCTCTCCTCTGGGAATGGAAAGAGGGTGAAGTGGCATCAATGGTCACCTTGAACCTCTGCTCCATACCCTTCCTCCCCACTTGGCGACAGTTCCAAAACATCATTCACCATGCAGCCTAATTTACAAAATAGGTCTTGACCGCCTAGACCAGGGGTCAACAACCTTTCTGCAAAGAGTCAGATGGTAATGACATTAGGCTTTGCTGTGTCTATTGTCAGTGTCAGAACAACGGTTCAACCAGACCAAGGCAGCACAAGAGCAGCCTCAGAAAATATGTAAACAAACTTTATTTATGAACATGAAATTTGAATGTTGTGTCATTTGCCTGTGTCATAAAATGTTACCCTTCTTTTAACTTTTTTCTAGCCAGTTAGAAATGTGAAAACTATTCTTAGTTCAGGAGCCATTCAAAAGCAGGTGGAAGGCCAGATTTAGCCTGTAGCCGGCAGGTTGCCAACCCCTGATATCTAGAAGACATGGGCACCCCTTTGGAGGCAGTGAAGAGAAGTGGAAAAGGTCTTGAATTCATGGTCTTTGTCGGAGGCCTGGTTTAGGCACTGACAGGCCAATCTCTCAACTGTAATCTCTTCACCCCAGGTGTTTTTTGCTTCATGCGGGATTAGAAATACAGTAGCCCACTGTCACTCACCAGAGGTATTTTCTGCCCTCTTCCCACATGCCCAGCTTTGCAAGTGCCATTCTAGCACACGTTGGTCTACCAGATCTGACTGTGGCACCATCAGCATTCTGTCTAAAACGGTTTTCTAAGTCGCTCTCCTTTCTCCTTTCCACAAATGAGATGGACTCATTCTAATTCAAAATCAGGCCGACATTCCATTCTTTCTTCATCCTTTCCTTCTGGCTGAGGACCCCTCCTGTCTTAGACTTCCCTCCTTTTCCTTCCCACCTAGAATCAGACACTAGCTAAATGGGAGGCCCCTGTGTCAGCCACAAAGCCCAGAATTCAACACCTGCCTATGCAGAATTACCGAGGATAAATGGCCACAAGTCGGGGACCATCAGCACCTGCTCAGGAATGCAGGGAGCTGCCAATGTTCAGCCTGCCAAGGGGCCCCAGGGGTTGAAAACAGGTGGCCCACTGGTGACCCACACATGACTTTCAGTTGGTCTGCACAGTATTTTAAAACGCAGAAGCTTTCACATACAAATCAAGATTCCAATTTGGAGACGTCATGAACCTGCAATGCCGGACTCCCATCTCCACGTGGTGACTGTTGGCAAGAGCTGAGAAGCTGCCCCCTTTCAGCTCCGTTCACCACAGACCCCACCACTCCCAATTGTGCAGCACCAGTGGCTTTACTCATGCATGGCCCCCCAGCCCTGAAGGCATTGAAGGTAGAAACCCTAGTTCCCTCTCAGAAAGCTGACCTCCAGATCCAAAGACATCCTGGTTGCCACAGAGGCTTTACAAACTTTCAAGTGCTGTCCCTTGGAAGGTGCAGTTATTATGAATTTCGAGGAGGTGGTATTAGATGGAGGAAAACTCTTGCTTATCCCCATCCTGGTTCCAGAATCAGCGAGCCAAGCGGCGGAAGCAGGAGAAGACTGGCAGCCTGGGGGCCCCACAGAAGCTGAGTGAAGCCAGCATGGCCCTGCCCACAAATCTGGATGTGGCTGTAAGTGGCTGAGGTCTCAAGGTGGGGTGGAGGGAGCCATCGTCCGGGAGTATCCCAGTCAGATCTAGATGTGAAGAAACACCTTGGGGGCTCTGTCTACAGGAAAAAGTCCAAGGAAAATTCTTTTAGAAACAGCACGGGGCAAGGAGAAATCTGGAAGACAGTGGGGCTGGGATAAGTGGCTGCCTCTCTGCCCCCATGTCCTCCTCCCTTAGTGATGATCATGGTGCCCGTCCTTCCTGTGCAAAACTTCTCCATTTACAAAACAGGGACACAGAGGGAAGTGCGGTACACAGACATTGGACACATGGGCTCTGGAGTCAGACTGCCCGAGTTCTAAACACAGCTCACAACTGCCTGAGGTATGACTTGGAAGAGTCACCTTATCCTTCGGAGAATGCAAGAAAGTTTTCTGATGAGGATGAAGTAACTGAGACCTAGAGAATGCTTAGCACCTAGGAAGTGTTCCCTAAGTATTTAGGGAGCCATCCATGGAGACAACACATATTTTTGAGTGTGTACCAGGTGCCAAACACTGGGGATAGACAACTCTTCCCTGCCCTAGAGTTAAAGGTATTTACACACCCACAGCAATGGGATTTTTCATTTATTCATTCTTTGCAAATGCAGAAGCTGGGCCCTGAGAAGCAAAATGACACTTCCCTGTCAAACATTGTAAGTACCAGGATTTTCTAATCCCCAGACCAAGCCCTTCTCCCCACCTACGGTAACCAACCGTCCAGGCTCGCATGGGTCCATACATGGTCCTGAGAAAACCAGAGCAAGTTGATCGTATTACCCACCCCGAGCTGCTCAGGCAGTGGAGGGAAAGGCTGAAAAGCTGCAGAGACAGCTTAGGATTCACTTCTGTCTTCTGAACTCTCCTTGTGACAGGGACCCATGTGGACATCCACCGCTCTGCACAGGCTGGCTCCTCCCATGGGGTGTTGTCCATCTGCTCAAGGTCAGCTGGCCTCGGCCTGGATCCCTGCCCGGATCACCTTCCTCCCATGGCACCCATGGGAAATGCAGCCTGTCCCAGGTCCTCCAACCCATCAAACTTGCATCCCTACGCTGTGTTCTTCCACCTCCACACCCTAAAAGGGGCAGCATCTGTGCTACCTCAACATAGAGATTGGACATCCTCTCCCCAAATGAGCCACTCTCCTCTCCAGGTGAAGGCAGGTTGCAGACGTGCCCTGGGCCTCTGGGGGAACCGATCTTAGAATCCAAACATGGCCCACAGCCCAGGAAGCTACCCTGAACATGCCAGTTGGAAGGCGGTACCAGACTCAACAGCAAAGTAAACAATAAAGGACAGCTCTCTTCTCTCCTGGCCAAAGCTGCCTTCCTGGTTCAGAAGACAGGCTGGATGAGATCTCAGGCCGAGCTCTGAAACGGGGAGGTAATCCTCTAGCACCTGTGCTTCCTCTAACTTGCTGTGTGACCTCCAGCCAGTCACTCACCCTCTCTGGACCTCATCTGTTAGAGGAGGCAGCTGGATAAAATGATTTTTGAAGACCTTTCCATGGTGGGCACTGAGACACAGAAGAGGCCAAGGAGAGATTTTTTTGTTCATATATGCACTCATCCATGACGTATGAGACCTACTGGGTATGCCATAAACAGAACTGGATATAGAAATAAACAACTCAGGTTCTGTCCTCGTTCATCGAAGTGTGGTGCTGGCCCGCTCCTGCAAGCAGAACACTTGCTCAGCAACCTTGCTGTTGGCCCAAGTCTAACATGTTCTTTATGATTGTGAGCATCTCAGAGTGAGAGGAAAATGTAGAAAGTTTTTAACATTCTAAACAGGATTTAGTGTCTTTAGTTATCCTGCTGGATTGGGAAGAGATGTTGTCATTTCTGGCACGAATGAAAAGTAGGATGGTAAGCTCTTTTCATTCAGTTTATCTTTCCAGGATATGTGCAAGGGGACTAGATGGAAGGCCAGCCTCACTCTGTCCTGGAAAGCCCTAGCTTTCAGTTTCCATGCAAAGACCCTGGGCAAACCACATGCTCTGTCTGAGCCTCAGTTTTCCTGTCTGTAAAATGAAGGTAGTAATTCCCACTGGTCGTCTGCCTCAAAGAGCATTCAGGACACTCTGAGAGGACATGGGAGTACTTTGCGAAGTGAGGGTGAGGCCTCGAGTGGGGTAATATTGTTATTCCAAGATTCCACTGCAAAAACGGCTGCTTTAGATCCCCACCCAGGATGAGTAGCTCCTGCCCTCAGGGCGGTCTCTCTGAGCTGCCCGTCTGCACAGGGGTCTCTGATTCTTGTCTTCGCAGGTGGAGGACTGGGCCTGCTCTGCTAAGCCTGGAAGCCTGGAATGACCCCTTGCTCAAGCCTAAAGTAAATTCAAGGAATCTTCCCCAAATCCCAGGTCTTCTGCAATCTACCTGTGCCCCTGACCCACCCAGGAGTTGGACCAGGAGCTGGCATCCCTGCCTCTTAGTCCTGCACTCCTAATTTGCTGTGTAGCCTTACCATTAATCTCTCTGGGCCTCAGTTTTCTCATTGGAGGTAGCTGTGCCTGCCCTGCCTGTAGGCATGCATTATGCCAGAACCGCAGACAACAGCTCACGAGATGCAAAAGTGCTTTGCCATCTTAAAAGTGCCAAATCACTCAAAGCCTATGAATGTGGATATGGACACCCAGTCTCCAGCACCCGCTGGATGAAAGGGGAAGGCTAGAGAGTGAGGGAGGAAAACTCAGTTAACGAACAAAGGCAGTAGCTCGTCACTTGGGTAGCAGGTGCCCATTTTAGGACCCTAAACTCAAATGTGCAAAATAAAATTTCTATCATTTTGCTATAGCTGGATTTACTTTCTGTGTTGTCTGCAGGAAATGTATGCTGGTAACTTCTAGGTGACTGATGTCTCACGCACTTCAGGTTTAAAGGCAGTCACTTGAGATCGTTGCCTTCTGCTCCCCTTCTTTCCACAGGGGTCTTTGCTAGGCTGAGGGGGAGGGTTAGAGAAGTGTTTTTGCAAATGCCACCTCCAGCCTCCCAGAGGGGATGTTTGCTTCCCAGCTTTCTCAGTCTCCGACTGGTGTCTTACCTAGCCTGGTCTTGGGCCTGACTCCTCTGCCCTAGAGATGTATCACCCCATTCAACTCCCTATTGGGGGTTCACTCCACATCCTCTGCTGCAGCCTCTCACCACAGTTGTGAATCCTCCCTGGCTTCCTCTCTCTCTCATGAGCAAGAGGAAAAGCTGACAGTTCTCCCACACCCTGCTGGGGCCATGGGAGCCCTGGGCCAGGCAGCAGGTCTCACTCACTCTAGACCTCCCACAGCCATTCCTCATGCCCTGGTGATAGGAAGGTCACGGATGAGATGTGCACATCTCCAAACTGTAAGAAGAATGGAAAAGAAGCAGGTTCCCTCTGCTCTGGGGTTCCACTCCCCTTCTCAGTCACAAACCTTCTTCCCCAGGCTCCTCTTGAAACAGGATTTTCCCAACCCTAAGAGGTAACAGGTGGCCAGACGTCTCAGCTTCGCTATTGAGGTAAACGTTGATTTTGTGAGGCCATTTCTTTCCCCCTAGGAATTTTCTCCCCAATAACTATTTTTATTCCCTTTACCTTCTGTGTGTGGGACAAATGAATCACTATAGAGCTCTCGCCAGCTGTGTGACTTTGAGCAAGCGGCATGTCCCTTCTCTGTGCTTGTTCCCGGGATAACAACAATTTCTTGCCTCTTAGAGTTTCTGTGACAATTAAGTGAGCTAATACATTTTGGCACATGGTGAGCACTCAAGACATATTAAGAAAAAAGTCATTTTCCCAAATACACCTTCTGCCCCTTTCTACTTCTGAGCTTGAGCGTCTATCCTGATCTCAAGTTCTATTCCAGGGATTCTTAAACCAATCTCCAGGAAGTCAAGGAGCTCTCAAGAGACTATGCAAAATTGTATGTATCTGTGTGTTTATTTTTTCTAGGGAAAGGGTTTATTGCTTTCATCAGCTTTTCAAAGAGCTCTGGGGCTTAAAAATAATAATACTAAAGAATCCCTGTCAGACATATCTGAGTCAGATTTTGACAGCTCCATATTCTAGCTATGAGGACTACCGACTTGAGGGAAGATCAAGGACAACTATTTTAGAAAGGTAAAATTTTTAAAATTGCTATGGTTTGAATGTGCCCCCCAAAAAGTGTGTGTCGTAAACTTAATCACCATTGTAACAGTGTTAAGAGGTAGAACTTTTAAGAGGCAATTAGGCCACGAGGCTCTGTCCTTATGAATAGATTAATGTTATTACCAGAATGGGTTCTTTATAAAAGGATGAATTCAGCCTCTCTCTTTCTTCCATCCACCCCCAACCACCTTTTTCCTTCCACCATGGGATGACAGACCTTGACAGCAAGAAGGCCCTCAGCAGATGCCAGTCCCTTGTTCTTAGACCTCCCAGACTCCAGAACCATGAGCCAATAAATTTCTGTTCAATATTTATTACCCTTGTGTGGTATGCTGCAATAGCAGCATAATGTGAACTAAGGCAAATAGAAAATGAACACATGCCCAAGTTTTATTTAACTCATTAATTAATGAGAGAACTGCTAATATGTCATAACCAGCTCAAAGGTGAACATGCACACATATTCAAAGAACAGACAAGCACACAGGCAATCAGGAATGCTGAAATGAATTACAAATAAAGAAAAACAAGAGCCAATAGCCATAGGGAAATAATCAATTTCATCTCCACTAAACATGACTCATTTGCATTGCTATTGACAAGAATAATTTGCATTTCTAACCAATTTCTACGCATTTAAGTTGAAAAATAGCTCAAAGATAATAAAGATGCAGATATCCTGAAAGAGTGTGTGAGACAGAATACCCTATCATGTTTATACGCCCCTTTCAAAGCGTTTCACAATTTTTTGCCCACATAAAGTTACTTTGTCTCTCTGAATCTCACTTTCCTCATCTATTAAATGGGATGACAAGACCCACTTCAGAAGATTGCAGTGAAGATTATATTAGATGATGTGTGCATAGTTTTGTGCTTATAAAATACTTTATGAGCATAGGAAATCTTTACTGCTTTTCAAGCTCCTCTAGAACTCAAGTTTAAAAGCCCATATCTGGAAAGTGTCTTGAACTGCAGTAACTTTTTTTTAATGTCCATTCACCTTTTATAGTTCAATTTCTTAAAAGGCTGACCAAGCAATAGAAAATAGGCAAAGAGCAAAAATCAGAGATTCACAGGAGAAGCATACAAACCGATACTAAACATATGAAAAATTCTTAACCTCACTCACAATTTAAAATGTAAGTAAGTGATGAAATGCATTTTTAAATCTTAGATTGGCAAATATGTAAAATGGTAAGGAATTGATGAAACAGGCATTCTCATATATAAGAAAGTATGAATTAGTAAATCATTTTTGAAGACAACTTGGCATCAACTATTAATATTCTAAATGCAAATCTCTTGACCTAGTAACTTATTTGCAAGAATTTATCCAATAAATACACATGTACATAAATACTGTATGTAAGAATGTTCATCAAGTCTTTATAACAGCAAAAACTAGAAACCACGTAAATAGGACGCTGGTTGAGTCTACGGTAATATATTCATCCAGCTGTTAAAAATAAGAGATTGCAATGAACCTCATGAGAAATTATCATTAGACACATCATTAAATGGAAATATCAAGTTGCAGAACAGTATTATGAAAAAATAATGATATCTTTATAAACAACCTGTTGTATAAATGTATGGAGTACAAGTGCCATTTTGCTACATGCATCAATTGTATAGTAATCATCAAGGCTTTAGGGTATCTACCCTTTAAATAATGTACATTGTACCCAGTAAGTAATTTCTCATCATCCATCCCCCGCTCACCCCCTCATCCTTTCAAATCTCCATGGTCTGTCTTTCCCCTTGCTATGTCTACGTGTACATATCTTTTAGTTCCCACTTATGAGTGATGAATGCAGTATTTGTCTAACTGTGCCTGACTTACTCCACTTAGATAATGAGCTCGAGTTCCATCCATGTTGCTGCAAAAGACATAATTTTATTCTTTTTAAGCCTGAATAGTATTCCATTGTGTATGAACGCTACATTCTCTTCACCCAATCTTCCATTGACAGACACTTAGGTTGACTCTATATCTTTGCTATAGCGCATAATGCTGCATAAACACATAAGTGCAGGTATCTTTTTGATATTTTGATTTCTTTTCCTTTGGGTAGATATCAAGTAGTGGGACTGCAGGATTGAATGGTAGCTCTATGTGGAGTTCTTTGAGAAGTCTCCATGCTATGCTCCATGCTTGTACTAATCTACATCCTCTACGTGCCAAGGGTTTTTGCATAAGTCAGTTTCTGCTCCATAGCAAACTACTCCAAAATGTGGTGGCCTGAAACAGCAATCACTTCTTTAGTTCATAGTTCTATGGCTTGACTAGGTTCTTCATCTGGTCTGGGCTGACTCAACTAATCTCAGACGGCCAATCTATGGCCACCGAGTGGTCTAGGACAGCCTCACTCACAGGTCTGGGTTGGCAGGCTGTTAGCTGGGGTGACAGAGTGAGTGGGCCACATGGCTCTCATCAGCTTCTTCATTTGGGAGTCACTAGATTCCAACAGCACAAAAGCAGAAGCTAGGGAAGTCTCCTGAAGCTTAAGGCTCACAATTCATACTTCGCTCCCGTTGCATTCTACCGGTGAAAGCAAGTCACAAAACCAGCTCAGAGTCAAGGCATGGGAAAGTAGATTCTTCCTCTTTGCAGGAATGCTGCCAGTGTCATCCTGTGTTAGTATGTTTTCACACTGCTATAAAGAACTACCCCAAACTGGGTAATTTATAAAGGAAGGACGTTTAATTGATTCACAGTTCAACATGGCTGGGGAGCCCAGACTCCTTCCCTGAGTTCCCAAGAGACGTCGAGTCTCTTCTTCTCTATGCTCCAGGGTCCCAATCAGAAACTGGCTCAAATAGCACCGACTCTTTTCTCCCTGAAAGGTGGAGACCAGGACTAATGAGCATGGTTTGCCATGAGCCTCAGGGTCTGCAGAGAAAGGTTCCAAATGGAAGTGATTACTAATCTTTTTCTGGGGTCTTGGGTAGCAAAATGGTCCCCTCTGGGCTGAGTCACTCAAGTTAACTGTTTTGTTTCTTTCTTTTATTATTGATATGTAATAATTATACATAATAACGGGATATAATATGATGTTTTGATACATGTATACATCGTGTAATGATCAGATAAGAGTAATTAATATATCCATCACCTCAAACATCTATCTGGAGCTAAACACAAAGGAAGAGAAGAAGGGGCTGGAGTCCTGGGGGAGGTCAGGGAAAACTGTGAACAATGGACAAAACAGATGACGGTGTGTCAGGACCAGCTGCAAGCTTCACAGGGCCCAGTGCAAAAAAAAAAGCAAGGGCCCCATTTTAAAAGAAGATTAAGAGTTACAAGACTGCAACAGAAGAGCATTAAACCAAGTGTGTGCACCTCCTAAGAAAAGATCCCTGGGTAACAACACAGGTCACATATCAAGGCTGGCCCTGCTGGGTGTCCTTCCCATGGAGAGTTGGGCATTGCCTAGTAGACCCCAGGGGCAAGCAGATTCTGCAGGGTCTGCACCCAGGACTGTCTTGGCTGGGTTAATGTGTAGAAGGCTTCCAGTGATCCAGATGTTTCCCGTTCATAGCGCTACCCAGGATTCCTGTCCATGGTAGTGCAAATGAATTTTGTCTAGTAGACAATATAACTCTGCCTTAAGTCCAATTTTCATTTGACCACTTGTTAAATGAACAGCCAGTTAACATCTTACTGGCTCCC